CCCCCATGATGGTCTGTCTCGGCACAGGGTGTTACTTTATTTCCCTACATTTTAAGCAAACCATTGTTTTACTAACCCTTGTTGTTATTATTATTATTATTGTATTACTAACCCATATATGGATTTTTAATTATCTGAAATAAAGATTTTTTTATTTTTCGTTTATTATTACTTATTTATTTAAAACGAAGTCAATCACGATTCTCAGCAGAGTTGTACTGCTGGTTGAAATTGGGCTGGAGGTCGATTTATGTAACCATATATTCATCAATTACAACCCATAAAAGTGCATTGCTGAACATAGGCCACCCCCATAGATTACCTTATAGGGACTTTTGCCGTAGTTGCCATGCTTGAGAGGCGCGTTTACAACCGAAATTTTTATAATTTTGTGTTGTCATCAGAAAAATGAGATTTACGAGTATAGATATATTTAAATAATACAAGCGTACCGCCCCCGGCTTCGCACGGGTGATTTCTGGATCTCGACAACAGTGCCACCTACCGGGGTACAATTGTGAATACAATCCACCCATTTAAACACACACAAAAATATTCATCAAAATCATTCAAGCCGTTTTCGATTTTTAGGAGATTAACGGGCAGCAATTGATTTTTATTTATAGAGATTACAGTTCTTACTGTAATAATATTATTTAAACAACACGCATTGCTCTCTCTCTCTCTCTCTCTCTCCATTGCTCTTTGATGATCCCAAAAAAAATACTATGAGCTAGTATTTTTTTTGGGATTTAGTGAATAATTTATTGTATTAAAATTGGTTCTTAATTCGTCTGCGATATTTCAGATTATTTAGACACGACTGGAAGTGGGTGAAAACTTATAATATACATACGAGTACAGTGCAGGCCAATGTAAAACGTGTAACAATTAAAATGTGTGTGTTAATAATGTCTTATGAATCTTATTATCCAAATTTGTTGACTTTTTTTTTCTTTATTCTTTTTCTTTTTCTTTCTGTAATGTAGAAAAAATGAACGAGGAAAGAGTGACAAAGCAAATTTATGTTGCAGAAGTGAACGGCACAGTTGGGAAGGGACGCCCTAGACGAAGGTTTATCGACCAAATCGGCGATACATTGAAAATGGGCCAGATTAGGAGTACCCTTAACCGACGAGCGTGTATGCGTAGATATATATGTAAAGGAGGCGAGAGAGGTGTGTCAGGATCGCGCCAAATGGAAGTCCGTAGTCTCTGCCTACCCCTCTGGATGACAGGTGGTGTTTGTGTGTGTGTGTGTGTGTGTGTGTGTGTGTGTGTGTGTGTGTGTGTGTGTGTGTGTGTGAGTGTGTGTGTGTGTGTGTGTGTGTCTTGACTTTTTATAGTATAATCACTAGATGGACTGTGGGCTCTGTTTAAAATCCTCGCCTTTGTTTCTATAGTTTTTGTCAATATTGTCGTGTGGTGTAAGAGACATTTAAGCACACAGCTTATCTGATAGTAAGTGGATGCTGTGGTCTATAGACTCCTGCATCTATCCTAGATTTAAAATCAAAATATAGATGCATTGTCACCCCTGAGAACTAAGATACAATATCAGACCTCATCAGTAAAAAAGGTATTCGGTTCTATATACTCATATGAGCGCGTGGTTGTTCCCCGATCGAGTTGACCAATTCGCGCTGCAAATATATAGCTGCAGTGTGGCTCTACTACATATAAATTTAAAGAAAAGTGAGCGGGAAACTCATCAGCATTAAATTACTGCCGAGCTACTGCTTTCGATGCTTTTAACCATTGCTTGACGACGACCTTGTATATCGATTTCTTACTACTCTATACAATATCATAAACAGTCTAACTGATAAGCATGAGTATTTTATCTTCCCATATTAGAGAGAATTTGCATAACCACCATGCTTAACAGGCAAATTGGCAATCGTTGTGCCAGGCGTTATTACACACCTTCAACGGTATTTCCCTTTACCGGGCCTAATACGTACTATTTTACATATAATAGTAATAACTTAAATTAAAAATGTTAAAACTTCTGAAATAAAAACAGCTGATGATCAACAAACGGCTGAATAGATTTTCTTTAAACATAGCTAAGAACACTATCGACTAAGATACCTTGCAAACGAAAAATACCTAATCAAAATAGGTTTATCCGTTCAGGAGCTATGATGCCACAGCAGACACACATATACACACAGATACACACTACAAAGATACAACTCCAGAGGTGTGTTCTTCAAAGGTTAAAATACTAGTTAGTTATAGCGCCATCTATCGTAGACCATGAGGTTTAAATGCTTCAAAATTAGCAAAATAACATTGAAATGAAATTGTAACCAAAAAGATTGAAAAAATGCATTTCAACATCCACGCAAATAAAATAAGCAATCGCTCGGAGCGAAAGAATAAAAGATCTTTGGTCTGAAATATCTCTCATAGATTGCAGCCAACAAGAATTTTGTCACAGTTTCTTATCAGACATTGCAAATTCTATCGAGTACAATCAAGAATGTAAGTTATTAAATATATTATTTTCATTTTATTTATTAACGATAACGTGTAATTATAACTAGGATTTATGTCTAAATCCCACTTCCATGTTACATGCCCCCGAGCTTTCAAAACACGTTCTTTTAATAATAATTACAACTATTAATTACTACATTAGTGCTAAGTTCGCTAGACAACACGATAAGCAGGTGTAAAGAACGCAAAGGTCAATGGGCGACACAAATTGTATTTACTCTTCCATAAAAGTCAGTCGTTTTTTTTTAATACCTTAATTCAAATCGTATTAGCGTGATCGTGTAGAAGAAACGGCAGTGGAGTATAGTGGTACAGAGCCTTCTAGTTGGTTCTGAGTTAAAATTCCAGTTGGAACCAATGTTTTATCCAAAAACGTCATTCTGAATTATTAACTTATTTTTACGCGAATTTTAAGGATTTTATTACGTTTTATTTACGATTTTATTACGTTTTATTTATTTCAATTTAACTTATTTTAAACACATTTAAATAAGTTACCATCACGAAGACAAAAAGAATACCTACAAATTTTAATATAAATATTTATTCCGTGTTATCCACACGGATCTATAGTTTTTGCTAAGACATAGTGTATACAAGCAAAACCCCTGACTTCAGAAGCTGATAAGTGGAAATCATTTTTTTTTAAATTGTTTGAATTCAGATCTTACTTTTTATAAAAGGTTAATTTTTCACAATGGAACCTCTACCTAGATACTAATTTTAGACCACTTATTTCCAATTTATTTTTTATAAATGTTAATTTCAAATTGACAGTGAAGAAATTCTAATTAGAAACGGTTTGGTATATTTCATGAATATTTACGATATAACATGGTAATTCAAGTACACTTTACTGGAATAGTCTTTTGAAATCAATTGCTGAACATAACCTTTATCAAAAATATGCCAGCTTATACGTAGTAGAGAGGGCTTTACCACGTAAAAGCTGCAGCTATATTAGTACTCGTAGTATAGTGGTAGCACGAATGGGTCGGCTCGACCGAGGAAGGACCACGCTCTTACAGAATACCAAAGTAAAATAGCAGCTTAATGCTGCTGTATTTCTTTGTGAAATGGAAACCCTTTTTACTGGAAATGAGGTATTCCATCTTAGCCCTCACGGGTGACAACGCATCTGCATTTTGATTCGTAATCGAGGATGTAGATGGATGCTGTGTAGATGGACTGTGTGCTCGTTTGTCACCCATATCCCATAAAAATGCTACGCCACTGGGGAGATTAGTCTACACTCAATGGTACCTCGAAGCTAAGTGTTCGCTGTAAATTTCACAGTACCGAAACAACCCGGGTTCGATCACCACTGGTGAAAATGAAATGAAAAAATGTTAATAGCAATTTTAAATGCTGATTTACTACGTGCTCGGCGGTGAAAGAAAACATTGTGTGAAACTGTCGCAGGAATCAAATATTTCGTGAGCATGTGAAGCCCGCCATAGGTACTAGAGCAGCGAGGCTGGTTAATTGCATAACCCTCACAAATATAAGAGGAGGCATGTGCCTAGAATGGGATATAGATACTATATTATAGACTATAATTTTACTTTTGTACATCATGCCGCGAAGCAGGCTTGGTGAACGCAGGATGGTCACCCTAGCGCTGTTAAAACTACTTCTAATTATCAGTCTATTAATAATAATAATGTCCTCGAGACTGAATTCTGGTCACGGCGGTCAGTCTCAACGGAGACTAGACATATACGCAGGACAGGATTACAGTCCACGAGTGTGTGGGTACAGGGGCACTTCTCTCTAATTCTCATAGTCCAATGGGATGGCAACGCGATACGACTGAAGAGAAATCATGCGCAAGACCAACGGCTTTACGAGTTTTTACGAAGCACGGGTGTGAAATAACACCAACTTACTCTGGGTTACCTAACTCTGGGTTGTTACTGAGAATCTATTGAAAGAAAAATCCAATTACTAATTTCAATCTCTGTTATAAGCCCATTAATTTAAAATATTTTCGATTTAATAAGGTAAATATTTACTAATGAGATTAGTAAATCACGTTTCTATATGCACTCATGCCCTTGATGTAAGCACTTAATCAACTAATAATGTTGTTATTGTTATTATTTGGTATTTAAAAAAGCGTTATCGCCACACTATAATTTTCTCCTGTATCGTGAGGGTAGTTACATAAATTTCACAAGGACCAACATCCAGACTCGTAACAATTATTTGTAGGCCATACAAATACTTGTTCCTTATTGGGATCAAACTCGCGGCCCTTTGCAGTGCAAGTCATTGCTAAGCCACTGCGCAATGAAACCGTCATAATATATTTTTATTTAGATATACTAGCAAGGAATTATTGTTTATCTATGTTTGTATGTAAAGGTTTATTACTTAGGACTTTAAAGGTTAATTAGATGGTTTAAAGTTTTTAAAAATGATTTGTTATATTAAATTGTTGTATAGATTTAAAAACGTTTCTTTTAAATAAAGAACTGATATAGTCTACTTACGTCCATACCACCATTGTTCCATGGGGGCAGCGCGTAGTGGGAGGGGTCGTGGTGCCCCCCTCCCATGTGTTCCGCCATCACTGACATCCAGTGCACGAGGCCTTGCGCGCCGCCACCGCCTGATGTGCCTGCAGCAAAAACTTCGCATATGATATATGGCATAACTTAAAACACTACACATTTTAAAGCAATATAGTAATTATATAATATTAAAGGAGTATTATATGTTAAATGTACTTTTTGAATACGCTTATAAATTCGTTTATTTATCACATTTATGTTAATTTATTGACAATTGTGCAAATGTTAGTAATTTCGATAAGAAAACTCTCATATTACACACATTTTAATTTTACAATATATCATATTATGACTAAAAACTATAACTAAACAGACTAACAGTCTTATTTTGAATGTTTTTTAAATTTTTAAAAATTTATAAAAAATACTAAACTTATTTTAAAAGTTTTTTTAAAGAATTAGAATGACAAACGAGCACATAGTTCACCTGATGATATGTAGATGATGTGGCCTATAGATATCCTACATCTATCCTCGATTAAGAATCAAAATGCAGATGCGTTGCCACCTCTGCGGACCAAGATGGAATACCTCGTTTCCAGTAATTAGGGTCTCCGGTTCTATACACTTACCATACGAAACATAACAGCATTGATCTGCTATTTTACGCTGGTACTCTGTGAGAATGTGGTCCTTACCCGATTTTTCATAATTCTAGTCGATGGAATCTTTGGATGTTGTTATAGGCAAGTATTGGAAATGCCAGAAAAACCTTATGGCTCCAACGGATGGCGATATAGCCATCTCGTTTGAGCCAGACGTAAGTACTCAGACCGGCGACAGACAGCAGCCTCAAAGTTGCGAGACGTCTGGTACTGCGTCGTCAATCCTACTCCAACTATATATATATATATATATATATATATATATATATATATATATATATGATGTATGAGATGTATGTATGTATGAGTAGTATGTATATATATATATATATGATGTATGAGTAGTATGTATATATATATATATATATACATACTAGCTGACCAGGCAGACGTTGTTCTGCCCTTTCCGAACGACCATTCGCTTTCACAAAAAAAAATTGAGGGTCACTTATCGGAATAAAAACTATCCTATCTCTCAAGTTGGACCAAACTGCACACATTGTGCGAAATTTCATTGAAATCAGTTCAGTAGTTTAGGAGTTCATCGCGGACAAACAACGTGACACGTAATTTTTATATTAAAGCAAATCCACCCTATAACGGCAGATTCCCATGTCCAGCAGTAAATACTTAAAGGTTGATGATTAAGAATAAAAAGAAGACTACGTTGCTAGCGGTCAAAGTGAAACATACCCTCGGTACGAAGACAACATTTGAGAAAAGACAAAAATTGTTTGTTTTTAGGGTCGTTGTGAATCCTAGTGTCTCTGACACTACACCATAGCCAACTCCTGACCTTATCGTTAAGCGTCTGTGAAAGTGGAAGGAATAGAGGAGATCTCCCGCTGGGCAAGATGTTCATATTGAGGAGTGGTAGTTCGGAGCTATTCTATATATACTGCTTTTACTTCGGAACTTTGATAGCGCGATTTAGGCTTTGATGTATTTCACTTGTTTTTTATATAGAATAGGGTGACAAACGAGCACACAGTCCAACTGATGGTTGCTGTGACCCTTAGACACCTACATCTATCCTCAGTAAAGAATCAAAATGCAAATGCGATTTCACCCGTGAGGACTAAATGGAATGCCTATTTTCCAGTAAAACGGGTCTCCGGTTCTCTATACAATCACCATACGAAACACAGCAGTGTTAAGCTGCTATTTTACGCTGCTATTTTGTAAGAGCGTGGTCCCTTCCCCGGTCGAGCCGACCCATTCGTGCCACAACTATACTCCTAATATAGCTGTAGCCTGGCTCTACCACGTACACAATTGTGTGGCGAAGACAGCGCCGCCACACTTTTTTTGACTTTTAGAGTGTTAGAACTTATACGTCTTTATAATATTAACGTGACGTACGAGTAAACATCTATCTGATGGTAACATCTGTAGCCCATACACCTGCTAACAACAACATGTTTAAGCACTCTGTCGCCTTAGTTTATTTCAATATTATTATACAGCGCCTTATTATACATATCATTAATACTTCACTACCTTTATAATGCAATGTTTAAGCTTCTTAGTTATGACTATAATTGTATTGTTTTCTATTTCCTGTATAAAAATAAAAAGAAAATGAAAGAGAAAATTAAAGGTATTAAATAAATCTTACAAATAGTAACAACATGTTTTAAATCTATGAGTATACATAAGCAAGCTATTACGTATACTCGAAGTTTCTTTAAGTATTCTAAATTACTCTAAGTATGCTCAATAAAAAAACGTATAGATTAAGTAATATCAACTTCTATCTCTATCTCTTCTACCCAAGATTGTGAGTGGGATGCGCTTAATATCATCGGAGCGGAGCGGAGCGCAGGCTCTTTTGCAACAAATCTCAAATACTATTTTGGCTTTAACTTTCTTCATGCCTATTCTGTACGATTATCATAGTACCCAATGGGGGGTAAAGTCAAAGGTGCGACATTTGACTTTAAAATTTAAGTCTTGCGTAAACAGAATGGCAAAGGTACCTACATTATCGATAGTTTTCTAGTATCCATTGTTACTTTTTACGATACCCATGGGAAAAATTTAGTAATACCTATTGGTACTACCATGAGTTAAAAACCATTTATAATTATTATTTCAACAATTCTAATAAGAAGTTGGATGGCGAATGATAACCTATTAGAACATAGTAGTGGAAAATTCTAGTTGGCGTATACAAAATATATTTACAGCCTTTTTAGTATACAAAAACACAATAAACGTGACTTATACATGGTAGAGCCATGAAGCATATTACGGTCGTAGCATGAATGGGTTGGCTAGACCGGGGAAGAATCACGTCCTCACAGCATACCAGCGTAAAGTAGTAGCTTAATTTCGTGTTTTTACGGTGACTGTGCGGTGGTCTTGTTCTTCAGCCACTTTGTCTTGCGTATGTGGTTTGTGGGAAAGCCTTTGATTCCGTCGAAATTCGGGCGGTGCTGCAGTCCCTCCAGCGGTGCCAAGTGGACTGTCGGTATATCGAAGTGCTGAAGTGCTTATACAGCAGGGCTACGATGGCTATCCGAGTACAGAATCAGAGTCCGAAATCTATCCAACTGCAGAGAGGTGTAGGAAAGGGTGATGTAATATCTCCGGAACTCTTCACCGCTGCATTGGAAGACGTTTTCAAGCTACTGGACTTCAAAGGATACGGTATTAACGTCAATGGCGAGTACATCACTCACCTTCGCTTTGCTCACGATATAGTCGTTATGGCAGAATCGTTGGAGGACCTAAGCACTATGCTCAGTAACCTCAATATTGTCTCCCAACGGATAGGTCTTAAGATGAACATGGATAAAACAAAAATCACGTTTAACGTCCATGTCACACCTATGCCGGTAGATGTTCGGAGCACTATGCTCGAAGTTGTTGACGAGTATGTTTACCTGGGACAAATAGTCCGACTAGGTAAGTCCAACTTCGGCAGAGAAGTCAATCGACGGATTCAACTCGGTTGGGCAGCGTTCGGAAAGTTACGGCACATCTTCTCATCAGGTATACCTCAAAACTTGAAAACAAGACTGTACAACCAGTGCATGTTGCCAGTGATGACCTATGGTACTGAGACGTGGTCCTTCACTGCTGGCCGTATGAGGAAGCTCAAGATCGCTCAGCGAGCTATGGCGAGGGCTATGCTCGGGGTTTCTCTGTGTGATAAACTTAGAAATGAGGATATCTGCAGTAGAACCAGAGTAAACGACATAGCTCAACGGATCAGTAAGCTGAAGTGGCAGTGGGCCGGCCATATAGCTCGAAGAACCGACAACCGATGGGGACGAAAGGCAATTTCGAGTGGCAGCCTCGTACCGGTAGGCGAAGTGTAGGGTGACCCCCCCACTAGATGGACGACCAGGACCGTGCTTTGTGGCATTCCTTAGGGGAGGCCTATGTTCAGCAGTGGACTCATGAAAGGCTGTAATGATGATGATGATGATGATTTATTTTTTATTAATATCTTATTTTATATTAAATTAAATTCTTCGCGCATACGCGACTCTACTATTTCCCATGCGCGAAGACATAGAGTAGCGCACAATTTTTTTGGAATAGCTTCTCTAGTACGTAGTACATATAACACAGTAGGCGCTGATGATAAACCATAGGATACTCATGGCATTTTCATATTACATTCCAATGTAACATTATGATGTGCGTATGTAAACGAAATTTAACAATAATTATCTATAATTGATTTATCTTACCAGTAGGCACGGCGGCTGGCTGCGCGGCTGCCTGTTCCTGCCCTCCACTGCCGGTGACCCCTCCCCCGCTCCACACGAACGCTGATGATGCACCCGCCTTCTGGAACAAGATCTCGTGTTACTGGAGGAACTTAAAGGATTATTTTATATACATGTACATATATATTAAATAAATAATACATGATGTTCGGTGACCCCCATGTACATACTACCCAAAACGTCGAGAATAAAAAATAAGTTAAATTAAACGCCTAAAAATGCGTAAAATTAATTTTATTCAATGTTAATCGTTCGTTCATATTTTTTTCTTAACAGGGTTCTTTGTTCTCATGTGTATATTGTATGTACTGTTAATTCTATTATATTTTCTATATTTTATTTTAGAAATTTTAAAAGAGTATTATTAAAAGATGTTATTGTTTATTAAGATCAAACAAATATGTTATTTTTTATTTTAAATAATGAAAATCTAATTTAACTTGAAATAAAAATCAACCAAGTTTTGGAACACTAATAAAAGCAGCTAAATTACATGACGTAGTATTTTAAATCTATACAAATAATATTGTAAAATTGAAGTGACTTTTTCTAATGTTAAAATAACTGCTTTTTACTAAATGCATATGAAACTATATACGATACTAATAACAAAAAGAAACTATTTTTATAATTTGTGTTCGTCTGTCAGTTTGTTCCGGCTAATCTCTCTCTCATAGATTAGCAACTCTCGGCTAGACCGATTTTGACCGGACTTACACTGACAGATAGCTGATGTTATAATGAGTAACTCAGGATACTTTTATTTTAGAAAAAGAATTAAGGTTATTAGAATTAAAAATTAAAACCCATGAAATCGTTGTAAATTCCACGCGGGCGAAATCGCGAGGGGCAGCTAGTTAACCATGTAGAAGCGGTGTAGGAATATCCACCACCCCATGTCATCCTGTGGGTGTTCTAAGAGGTGACAGAGGTAAACTGAACCAGGAGATTCCAGGAGGCAGCAGCATCTTCGTAATAACAGATGAATAAAAAAAAATACTACGATTGCAAAACCGCTTGCTAAGCGTGACAACTATGACACATATTTCTCTTATAAGGCAATCTATGGGGGAGGACTAAGTTCAGCAGTGGATTTTTGACAGACTATAATGGTAATGACATGGTAAGGTGTCAAGTACACAACTCTTGGAATGATTTTAAACGGAGAAACATATTACAATAATATCGGATAACTTATTGTCCCCTGGTATGTGTTCTATTTATTTGCCATTTCTAAATTCACTTTATAGAAACGATTTCAAGTGCTTTAGAAATATTTTCAGAAATTTAATCTATTGTGGTATACGTGAGGCAAACCGATTAGTTTTACTGTGGGCTATTATTGCTGATTTAGCTCAAATAGTTGCAGCAACATCACTAAAAGAAATATTAATAAAAATGCTTATCCGTTTCATAATCTTATTTATAATGACATTTACATTTGGCTTTTGCCACAACCAGGTGGCCGAGTTGCTTTAACTGGACGGGAGTTCATTAGGGTCAGTACATCCTCTTACTCATTTCTGCCAATATACAGCAGTGCATCGTCCTTTCCAGTTTTAAGAATGCAATCAGTATAATAACAGGATGTGAGACATTCCATCTCAGTACTTGGAGGTGATAACGCATCTGTTTTGTAGTCCTATAATTGTCATTGACTTTGGTGTTTAAATTTTGATCCAAGAAAATGTCAGGATTTCCGCAGAGGTTGTTGTGCTACACAGTACAGTATATATAACAGTTACTATCATTGATAATGTTTATTTATTGCTTTCCAAACGTGGCGCAAATAGTAAATATTCTAATTTGGTTAGTCTTTTTCCAGTGAAAGAATATAAACTGATAATGAAGCTTATATTAAAAGAAACATAAATTCAAATGAGTTTGATAGGAAGAATTAAGGAGAATGATGACAGAAACTCTTGTTAGATTTCTGCCAAAAGTGTCAATTCTAAATCCGATGGACTGGTGACAGGGAAACCTTGCTGATCACTCAGTGTGGTTAGTATGAATACTTTTCTTTTTTAAATCAAATACTGGCATATTGTTTCAAAATGAGGATGTTTTGCTTGTGTTTAAGGTGCAAGTTCTCATTCTGAACCCATAAAGTTATACTTTTCTTAATTCAAATTTTCAACACTTAAGGTAGTTGTTGAATTAGTTAGTTCTCGTATCACTAGGTGTTTAACCTGGAACTAAATTTAAGGAAAGGAGCGTTAACAACTCTAAAGGCCATGTCAGAAGAGAATGTTTATTGGCTCCTGCCAGTCCTCTCAATAATAAAATTATTGCACGAATACCTCTATTCAAGAGTTAGGCGTAGTTTGAATTTTCTAAATAAACTCCTTGTTAATTTGAGCCATAGTATTAAATAAAAATTTTAAAAGTAGATGTGCAGCCTATATACGTCACACTGCTGAAAATAGACCACCTATAACTTCTTAGAGGGTAATGGAACAATATATCTACCGCGTTGTTCTACTACGCGTTGGCGGGTTTAACATGTCTTTGAAATAAATATTGCTCAGACATGCAAGTTTCCTCACGTTGTTTCCCTTTATCGCCGAGCAAGTGATAAATCGATTCTAAAAATCGCAAATTAACAATTTTATTTCTGCTCTCGAGAACCGACGCCGCAGTAGGCCAGGAGCCACCGTAAATATCACATCTATAACGACAACGATAGGTTACGAATTACCTTAGAAAGTAATAAATTCGCCATCGATATAACGGCATGGGGAATTAAATAACTTACTTTATTACTCATTACTCCGTACCGTTACAGCCTATTAAAGTTCACTGATGAACACGGGCCTCCCCCTTAGATAGCCTCATATTTGCCTTTGTTGCAACGCTTGGCACGCGAGTTGGCAACCGCATTTTTTTTTATTTTTAGTCTTTATTCGGAAGACGCTGTTACCCATCTCCTAATTTGTTTCCCTCTGTCACCCTTACGATACCCACTTGATAAGGGATAGTTGATATTCCTAAACCGTCACTACACGGTATACGGTATATTACTTATCAATAAACAACTATTTATTTTATGGTTTAGTACAAAAATATAATTACGATTAAGGATTTCCTTTGTTAAATTACCTCATCTGGAGAGTCAGAAGTTCCGTCTCCATTGTTTTCGTCATCTGATGTCTCTGTAGGAAATCCATTCGAAAATAACATATTTCGTGGATAAAAGGAATAGCAATCAGCAACATTTCTTCTTCTTTTACCCAGACTTGCTAAGAAACTCTTATATAGCTGTGTCGGTAGAAGGAATGGAGAGCGGGTGTTTTGGAAGCCATCTTTAAATGCCAGGTTTTGATTACGGAACGGATTGCTAAAATCGAAATCAGGTAGAAACTCTCTCTTTATAAAATCTGCTACCGGATGCAACGCTAAAGTGTTTTCTGTGTAATCAAGGGCAGTGTTATTAACTTCGTCATTGGGACCGCTATTCTCTAGATCACTACTTTCTGAATTAACGTCACTTGAAGCGTTACTGTCAATCTGATCTTTGTTATCGTTGTCATCATTAAAATCTTCAAATTCTCTCTTCATTGGGAAATTCGGTTGTTTCTTCATAAACAAATTTGAATTTGAAAGTTTCACAGACATGTTATTGGTACTTAATGTTTGTCACTTTACAAATATATCTATATCACTAACGTTTAACACTACTGTCTAAAATATATCTTAAAACAATAAATATTTCTCCATAGCTAAAGTTATTTAGGTATTGTTAGGAACTATCGTTGTGTTAGGAGGTGGCTGGACCGTAACTGCAAAATAAATTTGACGTCGAGTTAAAGTTGGCGTAGAATTTTTATCTTATTCATTTAACTTCACCCGTTTCGCGGTACTTTTTAACGCAAAGATTTATTCCTACATTATACAACGAAAAGTGCTTAGTGGTTACGAACCGTTTTTTAAAGACTTATAATTTAATTATTCGCTTTTTTTACGTTTGGCTGGTTGTAATTACTTTATTCAGAATTTGTAATTTTTTTAATGGGTAAGTAATTATTATTAATTTAAAGTATATTATTTTGCACGTACTGCAGTATTGTATATACCACGCACTTCACATTATATATGATACACAAAGCAGGTGAAATTATTGTAAACGGTCACGATTCATAGACAAACTAGAATAGAATTGAACATTCTCACGTAATGTAGAGAAATAAGAAGTTGTTGAAGTTGTTGTTCTTCTCGAAAGTAAGTAAATATAAAAATATAAATATAATAGCATGTTAATGCTATGATGTTTCTTATGGTGAGTGTAGACATCCGAAGATCTGTTTTACTGGAAACGAGGGATTCCATTTTAGTTCTAAAGGATGACAAAGAATCATATTATTATTTATATAGATTTGTAATCGAGGATAGATGTAGATGTGTATGGGCCACAACATCCCCTTACCATCAGATGGACTGTCTGCTTGTTTGTCACGTTTATTCTAAAAAAAAATAATTAAATAATAATTTCTTATAATGAAGAAATACATTTTCAGGGTTAATGTTAGAAACCAGAGTTGTCAAATAAGAAACTTATACAAATAACGATATTTTTATATAGGATAAGGGTGACAAATGAGCACACAGTCCACCTGATGGTAAGTGGTTGCTGTAGCCCATAGACATCTACATCTATCTTCGATTACGAATCAAACTGCAGATGCGTTGTCACCCCTGAGGACTAAGATGGAATGCCTCGTTTCCAGTAAAAAGGGTCCCCGGCTCTCTACACTCACCATACGGAACACAGCAGTGTTAAGCTGCCTTCTGTGAGAGCGTGGTCCTTCCCCGGTTGAGCCGACCTATTCGTGCTACAACTATACTACTAATAGCTGAAGCATGGTTCTACCACGTTAATGAATGAATGATATGAATTAACAAATAAGGTTATAGCAAAAAAAAAAACTGCTATAGATTTTATATGATAATACTCGTAGATAGTTCATATACTACCATCGTCTTCGCTATAGACCGTCGTTAGTCCACTGATGAACATTGACCAATTCAGAATTCTACTAATGACTAAAATAGTCCAGTAAAAGGTTTATTTTTCTCGCATGGCCGCATATCTCGCATTTCTAGTTAAATCCTGCTTTATGCAGCAAAGCCCAGAGCGGCAGAATTTTAGGGGAGGCGGTAATTGAAAAAAAACGACTTTATTCCATAAGCGACTGTTAATTTTTATTTTGAAAAACCAATTTACGATTAGAATTTTTTTTAAATAAATATCATTACTATATAATAAAGACGTCATATTAGTCTTGAGTCTAGGGCGCCAATTAATATAAATTACTAGATACTCTTACTATTTAAACACGTTTAGATGTGTTAATGAATAATAGATATATATATTGTAAAATTTAAGCTGTGAAAACTCTCATAACATTTCATAATAACCATCCAAAATAAAAAAAATATAAAATAGCATAAAAACAAATAAGTATATCTTGCACAATTAGTGTTGCGTATCACCCCAAGCCAACCCAAACTAAATTATGTATGTAAGTATATGTAAGTATTACATTATATTGTTCACACTAACTGAGGACATCAATTCTTGGGAATTTTTTCCGAAAAGTACTTGCAAATAGCTAAAGTAACATAATTCTTATAATTAATTATGAGTTTCGACTAGAAAAAATAATGAATAATATTTGACTCGAAATTGTAAATACACTTGCATTAGTGCAGTATATTTTATTTGATATTTCACACGGTTATTTCTAAAAATAACAAATTGTAAATTCATGGTATTGGGTATGTGCATATTACATATTATTTCATGCATCTACGTTAAATAGGCTCCGAAGAAAAACGTCCGTCACACAGAGATAAACAGACATTAATGTAATTTCATAAGTGTCCCGTTTGCTAATTTTAGTACCGAATGCTAATAAAATATTGGTCAAATTACTATCAAGCGCTATAAGGAAATATTGAAAACATGATTTAGAGATTTTATTTACACAGACCGCAAGTACATTACGTTTTATCGGAAGAAAACTAGTAATATCGGAAGTACATTACGAAATATCTTGGAACCATTCCCATTCTAAGGCTAATGGTTAAAAATTTTATAAGAAATACTCGAAGGCTTCAACCTAATACTTTTATGAGTCTGAAAGTTATATGTTTGGTATATGAGCGGAAGTTTTAAACCTAAAATAAATGGCGTTAAATTAAAATCAATAGATCGGAGTGGAGATATATATGGATGTAGGTCGGCTGAACGAAAATATTCAGCGAGACCTCATATTTTCAGATTGCAAGGAATAATTTTGTCCGTATCGAAATAGCTTTTTCAACGAGACGAGATTTCGATTAGACCTATGCTAAATTTAAAATATTGACCTGAATCGATAGTGAAATAAATTTTGGTGTTGATTAAAATTAACTTAAGAGCCAGTCTATATTATATAAATATAACTTGATACAGAGAGAATTATATCGCCCATAGCTGTCGCTAGAAAAATACATAGCCGTCGCTAGAAAAATTATCTGCATTAGATGGCGGTAAAATAAATATATCTATACTAATATAATAAAGCGGAAGAGTTTTTTTGTTTTTTTGTTTGTTTAAACGCGCTAATCTCTGGAACTACCAGTCCGATTTGAAAAATTATTTTTGTATACTATAGCTAGATTCATGTGGAATAGTATAGGTTATCTAGCATTAAGCTATATCACTCAGCTAGCCTTAAATATGGATATTTGTTAAGCAAGTCAGAAGAAAAAGCACTCCCGAAATGATTTATCCGCGTACGCTGGTGTTATAGTTAGGGATACGTAAATAAAATGTTCTAGAAAAATATAGATCTTTACTCCATCTAAAAGAAGTCCTGGATACCATATGTGTATTTCTTATACATAAGCCATAATTTGGTATTTTGTGACAAAAAATATAGAAAATTTAAAAGTGATTTATGAGCGTTATTATTAGGCATGGCCTATTTATCCTTACGAACGAAAGTTACTTCATCATCAAGACAATTTTATGAAGATAAACTTTGTTCTTTATACCATGTTATTTGGACGCATAGTTTAAGAGATAATGTAAAATTAAAATAATTCAATACTTGGCAGGGCGCGCGAACGACACATAAACCCTAGCCGCCCGGTGAGAACTGCGAGAACTGCTCAACCAGGAGGGGGAGGGAAAGTGGAAAAGCTCTACATCATACATAATATGCCGACAGATAAAATACTCCATTAATTATGCCAATTTTTCCATCCATTGCTATCAAATAAAATATTTAATTGCAATTATAAAATGCTTGAACTAGGTCATGTCGCGCACTTCTGACACGTGATGACGCGGGTGAAACCGCGGGGCACAGCTAGTCATATATATACCCACTACTAAGAAAGGTGTTATCTTGTTTCGCAACAGGTTCTGGATTAGTATTTGTGTCAAATGTTTCAGAAAAAAATACTTTTATACATGTCGGTTTCTTCACGATGATGTCCCTTACTAACCTTTTCCTAACACGTGATATAACAGCACTTAAATTTCAAGTAACAAATTCTGAGGTACCGACGGGGATCGAACTTAATCCACTACCAAATTTATGGCGAGTACTTAGGGCCTGAACTAGAACGGCCCTCATGTTGCAGAGCGCAGACGGGCAGCGTTAATGCGAGGATTGCCTCCCTTCTCCGCTGCAAGCATATTTGTCTAGCACGAAGTAGTGCGACATTTGGTGGACAAAAAGTAACTTTATTTGAAACGTTTTTGTTTATTAACAGAAGAAAAGAATCTAAATCAAAATGTAACCAACGAGAAATCTAATTCAATATCATGCCTTTAATATTACCGAAGAATATTACTTATAATTAATGGAATAATCGAGAACTCGAACATTAAAGTTTTTTCACGGCGATTGAATTATAATTTATTAATTTCCATTAATATTAAGCATTTCAAATATTCATTCAATTAAGAATTTAATTGAGTATTTCATGTATGCGCATATTTCCGAGCTACTACTAATTCAAGAAGTATCATTTCTCAGGCGTCACAATCGTGTCTAAAATACGATATTTTGTCCAACCTGGCTTCAAAGTTACGGGGGTAGCTTTGAAGGTACGAGACGCCTGGCATTGCGATCTCTAACAACGCTAGAGAAGTTCATATTCATCTGTGGATTATAACTGCCTGATGCATGAGCCTTACAGTTTTGGTAACTTTTAGCTGATATTTCCCATGCAGCTAAAGGCATTAAAATTTATGATCGAAAGATTTAGATGACCAGGAAAACACGTTTAGAAACAAAAGTTTTCAGTCTTAAGAAATATGCCTTATTGTGTACAAAGTAAGGGTGAGAAACGAGCACACAGTTCACCCTAAGGTAAATGGATACTGTAGCTGATTGACACTTACACCTAACCGCGATAAAAATTAAAAATGCAGATACGTTGTTATCCCCTGGTACTAAGAAAGAATGAAACGTTACCATTAAAGGGGTATACGATTTTCGCCATTTATACGAAAGTGTCTTGAGTGTGTAAATTTATAATGGAAATATTATATTACTTACCTTTTTTCATGTAGGTATGATATATTTTGTTATAACAAAACATATGGCAACTGTGTTACT